TAGCACAAACTTCTTAAGGCAAAGAGAGCTGAAAAATCATAAAAGATTGAAGAACTATAAATAGATCATCATAGCTAGTGAAAGGTGAGGACTTTCTATTTCAAACTAAGAAGTTCATCTTTTATTGTGTAATAACAAGATATTATTTAGAAATCTTCATGAGATTTACATTTAGGAAAAACATTTCTAGCATAAATGTGGAAGGTCCATTTGGCGGGGCCACATCTGGAAAGCAGTGAGGCCAGCTGAAGATAACAGAAGGGACACGCTTCAGAGATGCCAAGAGCCTAAAGTGAGGTAATAGCCTTGAAAAAGGGCATGCAGAATCTTTTCTATGTTCAGGTCTTTTAATCAAGTTAATAGTCATCTGCTACTTTTTGAAACTAATTATAAAGCCATCTCATTTATTCCAGGATTTTCATACTTTATGGGACTTTCTGGAAATAAGGTATTATTTTCCATGTTGGGAAACTGAGTCCCAGAGAACCAAAGAGAATAGATAAGGGTCACACAACTAATCACAAAGAGACCCACTACTAAGAGCCATTTCTCCTAAATTCTATATTATTACTATTTTTCTAGTAAGTTTTACTGATGTTAGACATTTTATCTTGGAAGAAAAGAAATTAAACTATGAAGAAAAAATTATTATTTCTGATTTTAAGGTGATATTACAATTTACTGAAGCTCATTAGAAATTGCAAGTCTATCATTTTCATGATTTATTAATTGCCTCTTTGTAAAAATATTTAGAATACCAATAGAAAAATAGGATGTATGAAAAACAACTATTTCATTAATTAACCCTTTAAAGAGAGATGCCTTTTTCAACTCATTGAACTGTCTGTGGAAATGTCAGGAGAGAAAAAGGCAATAATATTGGGAAAATTAGAATACAATCATGCTGGGTCAAAACTGCATCTGGCAGCTGGCCTTAAACTCTATATCCAGGGCACTTGGAGCATAATAAAAGGTGGGATTTCAGTAGCTCAGTATTGTTGAAACTTTGAATTGTAATGGTTGGTAGAGTTTTAATCAATTTAGATTACATTTACCTGCTCATCCTTTAAGTGATATGATCAAAATACTTTCTTAACAAAATATTAGAAAACTGTAAAAATAGAAATTGAAGTACTCAGTAGTAATTATAAGTTTTTATATTCTTACTTAATTCTATGCTTAAAGAAATCAATGAAAAAAAAAGAAATCAATGTAGGAAGATTCCATTATTTCTACAAATTTTTTTTTAAAATTTATCCTAAACTATCATTTTTAGCACTAATATTTAAAGCACTGATGTTAAAAAAAAAAAAAACTATAGGGAAAATGCCTAGACAAAGCCTATACTTGAAATTTAGTAATATGAAGGCTATCTACATTGCTTTTTAGTCATATAGTATTTACAAAATACTTTTTTTCTTCCAGAGATTTTCTTTTTCAGAGAATGAAACACTGGAAAGCCAAGGATACTAAAAGTTTGAGGGGAAAAATACATACTACTTCATTTGATCATATCAAACCCAGTAATTCAAACATAAGCAGGTCTTTAAAATCAAAAGGGATGAAGTATACACCATAAGATCATTGTCTGTTAGTCACAGAAGCAACACAATTACAAGCTTTTGGTGATAACCAAGACTAAAAACAATTTTCTGAAATATAATGACAGTTAAAATGTATGGAGACAAACATATTGTCCTCTGCCTTTTTGTCTTTTGTCCAAACTAAGGGGGTGTCTCAGGAATCCCTGGGGAATGAAGACTGAGCTAAATCACAGATATATACACCAAATTCTCAAAAGATTAAAAGCATTTGGATATGCAGGATTAAATTTTAGTTTAAAAGATGTGGTAAAACTTAATGGATGGTTTTAAAGAAAACCATTCCCTCAATCTAAAAGTTACAGTTACTAATACATTAAAAAAAAAACAACAACACACACAGCTCAGCTAGACTATTTTATAAACTATATATCAATACAGAAATCTATCAGAAGAAATAGAATTGTTGAGGAACTTTGCAACTATACTCTAAGTTCTATTATGAGATTATTAAACTGTTCTCTTAAAAATAAAACAATAAGTATTTCTTTTTGCTTCATAGTAATAGAACAGTAGGAAAGTTCTTATAATTTCATTATCACACTTCCTCTATACATATGGTGTTCCCTCTACAGAACAGTACTAGTGGATGTCTAGCAGTTTCAGTGCTTTACAGTCATAAATATAAATTTGTTAGAGTCACTCAGTGAAATCAAAGACATATACTTCAGTCTGCACAGATGATGTCTGGAGGAAATGAAAGAAAAAGAATCAGTGCTTTCCATATATGCAGATGAGAATATTTATATGATGTTTCATAATACCACCTGATGGAAGATTTCATAATAAAGGAAAAGGTTTATTTTAGTTAAGTCTAAATGTTTCTAAATTTTGATGTTGCAATTTACCTAATAAAAATTATATTACAAACTTCAAAATACTGAAATTCGTCAACATGCCATCCTAAGTGAAGAGAAACTCCATATGAAACATGTAACTGAATGTATAACTTATATGACATCAGTTGTTTTAGGAAGTTATTCCCAAACTTACAATCTAAAGAAAATATAAAGAATGCTTCACTAGCATATTTTCAAAAGAACCAATAAACAAATTATTGGCTAAATCAAGGAAAATCCTAGGTGATTTCCACTGGGATTGTATAATATTATTGTGTATGATTTAGTTACAAAGAAATGAGCAACTGGGTTTATAGCTATTTTTCAACCAAAGATAAAAATGAAAAATACATTATTGGTAGAGTAAGACCCAAGATAATTCTGTGTTTGAAACTAAAAGTATTCAGGATTTTGCATCTAAAGTCTGTCTTCTTGGATCCTATTTTCAAGGAACTCAATCTGATGCTAAAAGACATGTCATAACTTGAATTTCAGATTTTAGTGCTTCAGAAATATGTTTATATACTTTATAATGTAATTATAGCTACTTTAAGACAGACAACACTTTAAGGCAACTGGTAGCAATATATCACAAATATAATTGAAAAATGCAGTTGTCCAGAAGCACTTGTGGGGATGATGTGTCTGAAAAGCTGCTCAAAGCTCCAGAGTTTGAAGTTAAATTTTTGATGTTGTCACTCTCAATCTATTGAATGGCTGACAGACAATCAAACCCGTCTGGCTGGCTGGCAGCTCATTTTGCTGGCAGGTGGCAAACAATTAGACACACCAATTTGTGCCTCCTGATGACATTAAAGCATGAAACTAAGTTGTATGCAGGGCCTAGTGATTTGTGTGAAAGCATTTCAAAAATAATACTCTTTGCCGTGGCAACTCATTTCAGACTGCCACCTCCCATTATGGCTTTGAGCGGTGAAGACGACAGACTTGAGTTACGTGCAGTGCAAGGCCGCTTCTGTTCAATCCGTCATCAGCGCCCCCTGAGACCTCAATCCCCTCCTTTCATCAGTATCACCTCATCATTTACATTTGATAGTACTTGAGCTACTGCATATATTAACTACATTGGAGACCCTTCTCCTAAAAAGAACTGGAATATGCTTTGTGCTCCATGATTTCATTTCTACTTATGCAATTTTGAATAATGATTGCACTCCCACTGCATTTTGCACAAATGCTACTAAGAACAAATGGAAAGTTCTATTTTTTGTAAAGCAATATCCTCAAAAGTATAATAAATTTTGAGTGGCTAAGAATATTGGCACTCAGGTGACAGTTTTGTTAAGTTTTAATGAAAAAAATTGTTCTAACAATAATCCAAATTAGGAAATAAATATTTTACCTAATCTTTATTGCTTTGGATTCTCTTATAAAAATCACAATAATTCTCTTTTTCTATTGCTTGTATGTTAACAAAATTTAGATACAGAGCTTTAAATGGAACATAAAACTTATGATCCCAAATTAAACTATTATAACAGTTACAGATAGATTTATAAATATATACAACTAAAAATACTTATGTGCTTATGCTTATATAAATTCATAAACACACATACACATATCTCTTAGGAATGCAAACTAAATATGAAATGGCATAGGGAATATCCAAGGAACTATATGAATAAACCTCCAAACTATTAAAAAAAGAAATAATTTCCTATACATTATACCCCTTCTTTTTGAGTTGTCAAAGAATGTCTGATACTTGACACATTTTACCTTACATAACAAATATTTGCAAACATTTTATCTCCTTTAACTACTGTAAGTTCACAGAAAACAAAACTGATTTTATCTCTTTATATCTGACATGATGACTAACGACATTTATATTTTCACAATAGATTTTCAAAAAGTATCTGCAGGACATTGGTTAAAATGTGTATAGGCAATTTTTAAATTCTGTTTATCTATAAAAAAGATAATGCACCCTAACTGAAAATGCCTTTATTGCCACACCTCAACCCCTAAACTCAAAAAGTACTGGCTCCAACTTGGACAAAGCAGTTTGTCTATTTTAGAGAAAACAATATGGAATAGAAACTGCATTCTGACTGTATATTTATTTTGACATTACAGTTTAAGAAATATCTGATTTACTTACTTGATTTTTTTTCTTTAAAACAAAAAATTATTACTTGTCAATTACCTCACATATATGTATATAGCTATACACAAACATGTACATGTATTTATATGCATGTATGTACATAATATAAAAACACACATACGTATAAAATGACTCCTCCAATGTATAGCAGTCACTTGACGATAGGTTATAATCAGAATCTGTATTACCCTATTTCCAATTCAATGTGTCATTCCCCATTTCATACTGAAGCCCCTTTTTTGAAACATATAATTAAAATGCCTGACTATGAGATCAATCAGGTTGGCCTACCACTTTGATAGTCTTTGTGGTGAGAATCTACAGTAATAAACATGTTTTCAAGATCTGCCTAATATTTTTAAATTAAACAGACACTAATTTTCCTTCTATACACAGAGCACTATGAATAATAAGTTCAGTACCTACCTGTCAAAGGAATGAAACTGCATAGGAAGAATAGCTTGCGCTTCTCTCTTCAATGCTGGGTCTGGGTATGGGATAGGCTCAGGGCCACATTCTGCAATTTCGACTGGGGCGGCCACAAGACTTTTCAGTATTTCCTTGACATTGATGCCTTTGGTTTGACTAATGCTAGATATGGATGGTGCAGGCTTCAATATTTCACTGGGGTTCTCGGTCAGGCTTTCCTGTGACTTTTTCACTTCATTTGACAAAGTGGATAACAGTTCACTCATAGCATCAGGGCCTGTGCTAGTCTCTAATTCTGCCCCATTCAGTATGTTAGCCACTTGCTCCTCTCCAATTCCTGAATCGGTATGAGGAATGGAACTCTCTAGATGAATATCCTCACCAGGGGTTGGTGTTTCTTTTTCCTTTACAGTGTCTGGGAATGCAGCAGGTGTTTCTATAATGAGAGAAATCAGTGTAAACAAAATGCTTCACAAATGAAAACCCACTGTTTTTAGTAAAATATATTCACAGAAGAGAAAAGAAAACCTGTAAGAAACAAAAAATCTGCTAAATGGATGTGCGTAACAACACAACTTGGTTAAAACATATCACCTATATACACCTGCTATTTTGTTCAATAAGCATCAGCAGAGCCATGTTTCTTTTATAAATTATCTGGCATGTCAAAAGTGATACTTTTATAAACATGGAGAAATAGTTCCTACTATAATTTCTTATAACAGCTTATAAATAATTATTATGTTAAGCTCCCTTTTATCCTTTCATTGTCAGCTACCAATCATGCATTATAAATTATACTCCTCTAATATTTTCCTTAAAATATGAAGCCATTTTTAATATCTTTTTTGGTATTTCAATAACCAGTAATGAAATAACTAATTGAAAAATTTAAACTAAAGGTATTTTTTAAATTATATGTAATACATAAATCTCTAAAGAGTTAGTTGCAAAAAGCATGTCAAATGATTAGTTCAAAAGGATAAATGCTTTAATAATAGAATAGTGAGTCTCGAGAATTTAACCTATATATGCCTTTAAGAACAATTATTTTGGAATATTCATAATGATTCTCTATGAATAAATGTAAATTTCAATATGTGGAAATTGAATCACAAATATATATGTATGAAAACATATATAGTATTACCAATTGAAATAGATAAAAAGAAAAACATATTTTAAAATGTTAAATCCCTATCAAATCTCATTATACATAGGCCACTATAATAGAATATTACCAAATTCTAAACGATGACCTTGAAAAATTTATCTAATCTAGTATAGTGGAGGAACTTCCTGGTGGTCTAGTGGCTAAGATTCCACACTCCCAATCCTGGGGACCTGGGAACAATACTTGGTCAGGGAACTATATAGATCCCATATGCTGCAAAAAAAAAAAAAAGGATCCTGAGCGCCACAACTAAAGATCCCGCATGACACAAAGACTGAAGAGCCCCGGGGCTGCAATTAAGACCCAGTGCCATCAAATAACAGCTTCCCAGGTGGCTCAGTGTTAAAGAATCTGCCTGCCAATGCAGGAGATATGAGTTCAATCCCAGGTTTCCTGGAGGAGGAAATAGCAATCCACTCCAGTATTCTTGTGTGGAGAACCCGATGGACAGAGGAGGCTGGCAGGCTATATAGTCCATGGGGTCGGAGAGTTGGACACACCTGAGCATGTACACACAGTCAAATAAATATTTTTTTTAGGTATCATGGAAATAGTAATAGTATTTAACTTAATAAAGTTGTCCTGAAGCAGAAAATAAGATACATATGTAGATTACTTGCAGTTCCTGCATAAAATAGATATTTAGTAAATGGCAGCTGTTTGTATTACTTTAATAAATAACAGTTATTCTCTATAAAACAAGAAGGGCAAATAACTTATTTTTATGATCTCTTTGAAATTAATATTTTTAAGTTCTATAAAACTAACCTTAGGTGATTTGCTGATGTTACTGGTTTAGAATTTTATTGGACAAAGAAATTAAAAATATACATCTCTTACAAGTTCATGATATACTGTAATTTTCCTCATATTTATGAACAGCTTTTAGTTTTCCTTGTTTGCTTAGGCAAGGGCTTTACACTACTTTGTAGAGTATAACAGTATTAAAACACTGGATGAACAACATGAAAGACAGGTCGTTCTTTGTTGTTCTCAAGGTTAAAACTTCACTGCATAAAGTATTTTTAAGAAGTCAGAAACTTTCAGTAGTATTTCTGGCAAAGCAGTAGAGAAGGAAAAAGGTAAGAAGTAAACATAACAATTTCACATTTTTAAATAAAGCCTTGTGACAGAAGATTAAGACAGTGTAGAAAAACTACATTAGGAATAAGAAGGACAATAAAGAATCAAGATGCTTCTGGAATATCTAGCTGAAGAAAAAAAAATAGGGGTACCTCACTAACCAAAAAAGCACGTGAAAAAGAAGAAAGTTTGTTCAAGAAGATAATGAATTAAATTTTGAATGAATTGAGTCTGCAGAATCTCTAGTACATTTATATCTAGAAGTCAAGAAAACTATAGCCATCTATTTGGGGATGATTAAATCAGACGTGGTAACTGAAACGTTGAAAACTGTTGAAATTACCTAGGAATATAGAATGAGAAGGTGGTTAAGTCAGTTATTTCCATGCTTAGAGATACTACTGACTTTACTAAATTCATGTTTAAGCTATAGACTATACATTCATGGAGAGAAAACAGTTATAGTAAAAAAAAAATCAGGACGGAATTAAATAGCAGTAGTGACATTCCTGACCTGCTTCTTGAGAAACCTGTATGCAGGTCAGGAAGTAACAGTTAGAACTGGACATGGAAAATGAGTATACTACCCAAAGCAATCTACAGATTCAATGCAATCCCTATCAAGCTACCATCGGTATTTTTCAGAGAACTAGAACAAATAATTTCACAATTTGTATGGAAATACAAAAAACCTCAAATGGCCAAAGCAATCTTGAGAAAAAGAATGGAACTGGAGGAATCAACTGCCTGACTTCAGTCTCTACTACAAAGCCACAGTCATCAAGACAGTGTGGTACTGTCACAAAGACAGAAATATAGATTAATGGCACAAACTAGAAAGCCCAGAGATACATCCACGTACCTATGGACACCTTATCTTTGACAGAGGAGGCAAGAATGTACAATGGAGAAAAGACAATCTCTTCAACAAGTGGTGCTGGGAAAACTGGTCAACCACTTGTAAAAGAAGGAAACTAGAACACTTTCTAACACCATACACAAAAATAAACTCAAAATGGATTAAAGATCTAAATATAAGGCCAGAAACTATAAAACTCCTAGAGGAAAATATAGGCAAAACACTCTCCGACATAAACCACAGGAGGATCCTCTATGTCCCACCTCCCAGAATATTTGAAATAAAAGCAAAAATAAACAAATGGGACCTAATTAAAATTAAAAGCTTCTGCACAACAAAGGAAACTATAAGCAAGGTGAAAAGACAGCCTTCAGAATGGGAGAAAATTATAGCAAACGAAGCAACGGACAAAGAATTAATCTCAAAAATATACAAGCAACTCCTGCAGCTCAATTCCAATAAAATAAAAGACCCAATCAAAAATTGGGCCAAAGAACTAAACAGACATTTCTCCAAAGAAGACATATAGATGGCAAAAAAACACATGAAAAGATGCTCAACATCACTCATTATCAGAGAAATGGAAATCAAAATCACAATGAGGTACCATTTCACACCAGTCAGAATGGCTGCCATCCAAAAGTCTACAAGCAATAAATGCTGGAGAGGGTGTGGAGAAAAGGGAACCCTCTTACACTGTTGGTGGGAATGCAAACTAGTACAGCCACTATGGAGAACAGTGTGGAGATTCCTTAAAAAGCTGGAAATAGAACTGCCATATGACCCAGCAATCCCTCTTCTGGGCATACACACTGAGGAAACCAGAATTGAAAGAGACACGTGTACCCCAATGTTCATCGCAGCACTGTTTATAATAGCTAGGACATGGAAGCAACCTGCATGTCCATCAGCAGATGAATGGATAAGAAAGCTGTGGTACATATACACCATGGAATATTACTCAGCCATTAAAAATATATTTGAATCAGTTCTAATGAAGTGGATGAAACTGGAGCCTATCATACAGAGTGAAGTAAGCCAGAAAGAAAAATACCAATACAGTATACTAATGCATATATATGGAATTTAGAAAGATGGTAATGATAACCCGTATGCAAGACAGCAAAAGAGACACAGATGTATTGAACAGTCTTTTGGACTCTGTGGGAGAGGGCGAGGGTGGGATGATATGAGAGAATGGAATTGAAACATGTAAATCATCATATGTGAAATGGATCGCCAGTCCAGGTTCGATGCATGATATAGCATGCTTGGGGCTGGTGCACTGGGATGACCCAGAGGGATGGGATGCGGGGGGAGGTGGGAGGGGGGTTCAGGATGAGGAACACATGTACACCTATGGCAGATTTAAGTCACTGTATGGCAAAACCAATACAATGTTGTAAAGTAAAAAAAAAAAAGAACTGGACATGGAACAACATACTGGTTCCAAATAGGAAAAGTAGTATGTTAAGGCTGTATATTGTCACCCTGCTTATTTAAATTATACGCAGAGTACATCATGAGAAATGCTGGGCTGGAGGAAGAACAAGATGGAATCAAGATTGCCGGGAGAAATATCAATAACCTCAGATATGCAGATGACACCACCCTTATGGCAGAAAGTGAAGAAGAACTAAAGAGCCTCTTGATGAAAGTGAAAGAGAAGAGTGAAAAAGTTGGCTTAAAGCTTAACATTCAGAAAACTAAGATCATGGCATCTGGTCCCATCACCTCATGGGAAATAGATGGGGAGACAGTGGAAACAGTGTCAGACTTTATTTTTCTGGGCTCCAAAATCACTGCAGATGGTGACTGCAGCCATGAAATTAAAAGACGCTTACTCCTTGGAAGGAAAGTTATGACCAACCTAGATAGCATATTAAAAAGCAGGGATATTACTTGGCCAACAAAGGTCCATCTGGTCAAGGCTATGGTTTTTCCAGTGGTAATGTATGGATGTAAGAGTTGGACTGTGAAGAAAGCTGAGCACCGAAGAATTAATGCTTTTGAACTGTGGTGTTGGAGAAGACTCTTGAGAGTCCCTTGGACTGCAAGGAGATCCAACCAGTCCATCTTAAAGATCAGTCCTGGGTGTTCACTGGAAGGACTGATGTTGAAGCTGAAACTCCAGTACTTTGGCCACCAGATGCTAAGAGCTGACTCATTTGAAAAGATCTTGATGGTGAGAAAGATTGAGGGTAGGAGGAGAAGGGGATGACAGAGGATGAGATGGCTGTATGGTATCACCAACTCAATGGACACTGGTTTGGGTGAACTGCGGGAGCTGGTGATGCACATGGAGGCCTGGCGTGCTGTG